TGTTTTTACCTTATTACGTAAGTAAAAAAGAAACGCTAGAAAAAATTGAATGGAACTTTTAAAAACAAAAATTAATTAAAAGGGAACTAATAAAAACAGTTGAAAAGCAAAACAAAATATACTGAAAAAAAAAAAACAAAAAATAACAAGTGAGGAACACCATTCAGAAACTAATATTCTTTTTTTTTTTATATTTTCAGGATGATTTTCTTTTTGGGTACGACGAATACATCGACAATAATAATTTCTGATCGATTAGAAGGTGTTTGGGATCGATCGATAGTCGCGGGGGTTACTTCAGCCGAAATATTGTTAACCCATTTTGTCACCCAACTTTTGATAATTATTTTCCAGTCAGCTCTGATAATGGTATTAACGTTCGCAATATTCAAGTACACCTCAGAGGGGAGTCTTGTGGTTATTACAGTGCTGATATTTTTGCAAGGTCTTTGCGGAATCAGCTACGGTAACGTTATGTGAAATAAAAAAAAATAGAATCGAACAAAAGAAGACGAATCTACTATTGTTTTTTTTTTGTTTTTCAGGATTTTTAATATCGGTCTTTTGTAGCGACCATAATTCAGCCAACATATTGTCCACTGGCGTGTTTTATCCCATGATCTTAACTTGTGGTAAGTATTAATTAATAAATAAGACAATCGGAAGAAATTAACTGAAACTGAACCAATTAAAACACTAAAATTCCACATAAACACGTTTATAAATGAAGGGTGACCAAACAAATATTTGATGAATTTTATTAGGCTTGGTGTGGCCCATCGAAAGTATGCCAACAGTTCTTCGTTGGATATCTCTTTGTTTGCCATTTACAGTACCGATTTTATCGGTGAGAAATGTTCTTAAAAAGGGATGGGGTATGACCCATCTACATGTCCTGAATGGCGTTGGCCTGGAAATACTTTGGTGCGTTATTTTAGGCACCATTAGTGCTTACCAACTAAAAAAACGTAGATAAATTGTGATTATTTGTTTAGCAAAGTGTTCGTTTATTTATTTGTGGATGTTTTATATTAGTTTGTTTAAGCAATTGCTATTGTAAATAAAAAAAAAGGAATAAAATGGTTGTTTGCTCATTATTTGTTTTGTTTTAAGCAGTTGCTAGCGTAAAACAAAATTAAAAAAAAGAAGGTATGAAGCATTTGTTTGCTCATTTTTTTGTTGTTTTAAACAACTGAATGAATAATAAAAGGATGAAAAGTCATTATTACGTTTTTAATGATTATTTTAATAAGAAATTTAAAAGTACAAAAAAAATACAAAAATTTACTCTTATCTTCAACCCTATAAGTAATAAAAATTATACACCTACATATTCATAGTACGAAAGTATTTAATTTTTTTTTACAAAACGTTACGTATTTAAATTTTTGATTTCCAATGTCAAGTAGGTTGTTAGGGACAAAACAAAAGATATACAGGGTGACAGAATACAAAAAAATGTTTGAGGTGAAACTTGAAAAAAAAGTAAACCGGTGCCAAAGCAAAACATCTGTACCAATAAGTTACAATAAAATAATTTAATTTTTACAATGCTAATTCGAAAAATATTCGCTTTATATGAAAATAGACTACAAGATTTAAATGGTAATACAATGTTAAAATCCACGTTATCTTATTGCCTCCATGATAAAACCTTTTTCCATTAATGCCTACTTTATTTAAATAGTTTTGTATTTTTTTTTATTTTTAAAGTCTTCATTTATAATTTGTTTGTTTCTAAAAATTTTCAAAACAATAATTAAATCGACATACGGGCAATTTTCCAATTACTGTTGATTAAATCAATTAAAATTATTACCTTGGTTAAGGAAGCCTGATACGTCTTCATACAAATAGCATTAAAATCATAAAAACAGCGTATTTTACAAAAATAAAACACAACTGTCGATAAATATGAGTACTATGTACAAAACAATATTACAAACAAGTACACNCATTTCAGTAAAAAAGTTTTTAATTCCATCTTCGTTTTTAATATCGTGAACCATAACAAAACGTATTAAACTGGCTGTGACATAGGCTGATACTAAAAGTTGATTAAACTTGTCTACTGATTTTAAATACATATTGTGGTTTTTCCATTTATGTTCATCTATGAGGTCAAGAGCAGCATGAGCTATAAACTGATTTAAATGTTGGTGGTCTTCTTTCTGAAAATGTAAAAGATTAATAACTTGCTTAAAATTAGTTAATATCTAACCTTGGGTTCCTTGCTGTTTGTGAAGTCCATTTCAAATATGGGGTTGTCATTATGACCTACAATTATAAAATAATAATTTCCATACATTGGCTCATTTTTCTTAGGCATTTTCACTTATATTTTGATATAAATTGGAAAGTTTAGTATTCTACTTTTTATAGGTTATGTATTCCTGACGTTTGTGACCTTGACCATTTTATTCATAGAAAGAAAAATTTTCAATTCTATAGGACCAGTTTGAATTTTTAAATACTTCGCGCCAGTTTTGTTTTAGTAATAAACATAAACAAACGGAATTGTTAATTCTTATGTGATTATTATGCGAAAACAAGACCAAAAAATTAATTTAACTAAAGACTGCAATACTATTTGTAGATGACCAGAAAAATAAACTAAAATAATGCATTTTCTATGTTTAATTTAGAGAAACAATTTACAAACCCTGAAGCAATTAATTTTCAATAAATTCGTTCAAGGTTTTTCTATAAACTAAATTAAATCAATAAAATGATGTTTAAATGTGTTGGCTCGTATTTCTACATAATGCAACTGAATAAAATTGGTAGGGGTGAAACAAAAACTCAAGCTTCAGTACCGAGTACAATTATTATTACTGTTGACAATTACAATCACATTATTTGCAGTAGTTTGATAACTTTGCGAGACATGCAAAGTGTGATCGGTGGCAATTGTGATTTTCGTCTTTTGTGTTTGTCAGAAACAAAAGAATATTTTGTATTTTCATTCAGAAAGGTAAATAAAAAAGCGTCTACGAACAAACGAAACACAAAAAACCTTTTAAAAGTAGCATTTCAAAAACAAAAGTTAACTAAAGTAATGTTAAAAAAAGTATGTTATATAAAAAAAGTTCAATTTTAATTACTAAAATTAAATTTTGTCAAAAGTTAACC